GAAGGCGGTCAAGCAGGGCGGGCAGATCTCAGGGGGGCGGCGGGAGTGTGGTGCAGCCGTGGCCAGGACAGGGCTGCGTGTCCATCAGAGCCTCTGCTAGGGGTAGCGACGGGAAGGCGGCTTCGCACAGCCGAGAGGATCCCCTACTTCATCCCACCCGGCTGCCCTGCGCTCGGCGCACGGCGGGCTTTGGCGCGGGCTTCCACCTGCGCCTGCTTTCCTTGCCTTGGGCGCCAGATGCGGAGCGCGCTCACCTAGCGGGACCGCTTTGTCTTGGGCAGCCGGGAAGGGAGCGCGGCAAGAAGCAAAACCAACAGGTCTCTTTTCGCCCGGAGGCACGTGGCCGGCGTGGGTGACCCGCCTTCAGCTAGCCGGCGGCGTGGGGCGTGTAGCTGGGAGCGCTAGCGTTCGTTTGTTTGGGTAGAAGGATACTTGGGGTGGATATTCGCAGAGTTGCGCAGGGAAAGCGCTTTCCTCTCCAAACCTGAAGCACCCATTACCCGGTTAGTGTGCTGGGGCGTGCCCTGGCGGGTGGGCGCGCCAAGACGAGGGAAGTCTGGCCTTGAAACTCCCACGAAAAGCTCGGGGCAGTGGGGGCAGCTGTGCCCAGCGGGGGGGCGCTGAGTCTAATGCGTCTTTGTTCCCAACCCCCATTACACATGCAGTGCGGGTCCCCTGCCGCCCGAGGTGGCAGCAGCGCGGAGTCTGGGAAAACCATGAGGGGCGGGGCTGGGCATGCAGAGGACTGACCGGGATCCCCAAGCTGCTGCGGGGGTGGGGACCGGGGATGTCCACTGCATCCCCACCGCCCTCCCTCCACTCCTTTCCTGGTTTGGATGGTGGGACTCTTCCTTTAACACTGAGAGCTAGAGGGTTCTCGCTAGGGGCTGAGAAGCCTGGGGCCTGAGTGCGGGCACCAGGGGCAGTGACAACTTCTTTGGTACCTGGGCACCCTGTGGGAAGGGCCGTTGTGGCTCACTTTGAGCCCTTTCCTGGGTGGTGGAGGCAAAGTTGTGTTTGGATTGAATATTTTGTTCCTTTCTGATCTCCTGCCTTTTAAGTGTTGCCTTTGAGAGACATTTTCCCAGAAAAGGGGGGCATGAAAGGATAGAAAAGGCAGTAGCTCGCCTGGCTGCCCCTGGGCCATCTGGGCTCCTAATTCTGGTCCAGTCTGGACCCTTAAGCCCAGACCTGTGAGGCGTCTTCGCAGGACCAGATGGGCCTCAGATGTGGGACTGGGGACCGCTTCCTACCTCCAGCCTGTTGCAGTCTAGTCTCAGGTCTCACCTTCGTTAAGTATAGGCTGGGTGAATTAGAATCCTGGGGTCATGTTTCTTGCCTCTTCTTGCCCCTGTGCAGAGTAGGTATCTAGTTAGGGGCCAGCCTCGGACTCCCAGGCCTGTGCTCCTACCATTGGAGGAAGTGGAGTCAGAGGGGTGTTTCTTATCGCCCCAACCAGTGCTCTGGTGGCTACTGCCCTCCCTGAGAGGAACTGCTGGAAGAACTGCCCTGGGTCCAGTCTTGGGCAGAGCTGGCCTTCCTGATCCTTTTGTTTTAGGGTGGCTTTTCCTTCATCCTCCTGCTTTGATGGTGATATTACTGTCACCCTCTGCAGCCCACAGCACCTTGATAGAAGGAAGATACAGAACAATTCTGTACAACAGAAACATAGGATCAACCATATATAGTATATGTAAATTAAAATTTTCTAGTATTTAATAAAAGGAATAGCTGTACTTTATTTTATTCTGTTTTTATAGGTTTGTTTTTGAGAGTCTTAAAATGTAGTTCAGACTGGCCTACTGTACTCGAACTCATGGCAATCTTCCTGCCTCAGCCTTCCGAATACTGGGATTATAGATGTGTGCCACCACATCTGGCAGGTTTATGGTTACCCTAGCAAATTATCAAAGACTGGGGGGCTCTGACAGTAGTACTGTTTTCTCATGGTTCCGGAGTCCAGATGTCTGCCCAGGGTGCTGGCCTGGTCAGGTTCTGGCGAGGACCCTCTGTTTGCAGATTGCCGCCCCCTCATAAGACAGAAAAGGTGAGGGAGCTCTCATTCTTCCTTTTAAATGGGCACTAACCTCACCACAAGGGCCCTATTCTCATGAGCTAACCTAACTCTGATCACCCAAGGACTCCACCTCTAAATACCATTATGTTGTGGCTTAGGGTTTCCACATACGAGTTTGGGGAGGACACATCACCTTTTTCCATATTCAGATTTGTTTCATTTTTATCATGTGTTTACTATTGAAACAGTTAATGAGACATTTGACATTTTTCCCCTACTGTCTTCAGAATCTTGTGTGTATCTTCAATTTATAGAACACCTCTTTTCCTACTCTGCATTTCAGTTACTCTATAGTTGCGTCTGGCTAGTGGCTGCCATAATGGACAGCATGAGCCTAGAAGGCATTTATGTTGTGCATCACTGGTTGGTTGGTTCTGCAGTCTTTTGTGATCTGTGTAGCTTTGCATTGCAGTGGACATCCTACATATGCTGTACCTGCAGGAGATCCTGCAGCTTTTTCTCACTTGGAATTCAGATGGGAGGGCCTATGGGAGCAGAGTGGAGTGTTGTCCTGTGTGGAATACCAGAAGCCTTTGGCTGGGGAAGATCCCACCAGGTCGTGACTGACTGTCCTGACCTCTCCTCATAGGCTGGCCACTCTTTGACACAAAGGTATCTTTTGTCTATTTCCCCAGAGAAGGGAGGGTGGAGTGACCTTCCACCTTCTGGTCCAGTGTAGTGCTAGTTGCCAAAGACATGGACTACAGAGCTATGGGCCATAGGTACATGGCCCCAGAAAGTGAGGGTGTCCTCTGCTACCTGCCCTTTTGCCTACTGGGCACTCAAGGCTGTTTTGCTGACTGGGTTGCCCTTTGGGAGAAATAGGTACCCACCACAGCTCTTAGAGGCCTTTCCAAAACAGATCATAGAAGACATTCACCTATCTTCTCCAGTTCTGGCTGGATAAAAATGTAAAATTTAGAATCCTGTTGTACCCTATGTGGGCTTCTATAGTGTTCTCCTCTCTGGGTCTTTCTGGGCATCATTGCTCTCCAAAGCTCTTGGATCTACCCTGGCATATCACCCTAGGAACTGTCTTTGCAGGAGCTCAGTGAAGGCTCCAATCCTTCCCCTGTGGACCTTTTTGTTACAGGCCCCTGTGGAATCTAAGGAAAGCTATTACCTTCCCACCAGGAAATACAGATCAATATCTGTATGTTCATATGGATGATTTTATTTTTGGTCCTACTGGGGGATTGAACCTAGGGCCTTTATGCTGAGATATATCCCCTCCACGTTTTACTTTTTTTTTTAAATAATTGAAATAAAGTCTCAGTTGCTAAGTTGACAGAGCTCGGCCTGTACTTGTGGTCCTCTTGCCTTAGGCTTCGAGAGTATTGAGGTTATAGGCATGCACCACTACACCAGGCTTTGTACCATACTCTGTTTTCCATACTGATTGGAGCTCTTTTTCTGAAGTCCTGGCTGCTCTGTTATGTAACAACTCTTCTGAGGGGCCGCTTGTGTGTACACTGGGCTTGTTCTCCCGTGGCTGCCTCTACTTGACCTGTTCTGATACTGAGTATGTCTTCTACTTTACTTCTGTACTTGTGATTCTGCCCATTAGTTAGATCTTAGTACTGGTTTCTTCTAGAAGGCCACCTTCTTGAGTGCCTATGCATTTAGCTCCCTACTTGGGAGCTCAGAAAATATAAGTGGGAACTGAGGGGCATCAGGTTGGATGTTTAGATCCATGCCAGGTACTGATCTGTCCCCTTGGGCTGGGATCTGGGGGGCCCAAGGTCAGGGGCATTACTTCTGAAAGTGACTCTGGACAGCCCTGAAGTGGGGGCCTCTTTCTAGAACAGCTCTCAACCTTTGACATTGTTGACCATTAGGAGCTGGTGATTCGTGGTTGTGTAGGTAGGTGTGGGGTGGTGATGGCGGTGTTGTCCTACACATTGTACATGTTTAGTAGCATCCCCAGCTTCTACCCACTCGTTCCAGTAGCACCTCTTGTGACAACTGAGAATATTTGTAAGACATTGTTAAAAATCCCTGGAGGAGGTAGGGACAAAATCACACTCAAGTTGAGAACGAGGGTTCTGGAATATTCTTGGTGCTTTTAATGAAGCAGATGGCTATGAGAAGCGGGAATAATGGCTGTGAGTGCACATTCATCTTCTTCCTCCCCTCGCATTTAGGGTTGGAGGTTGGATTTTGCTCAACGTGTAGGAGATTGTGGCTAAACCCCTGTTCACTGTGTGCGTCTGGTTCAGAATTAGTGGTTTGGGTGCACCGCTTGCCACTGACCAGAAAGCTGGCGTCCTTGAGTTTTCCCAGAAGTGGTTCGGGTTTCAGGGAGGCGGCTGTTGTGGGTGGCCCGGCAGCCTGCCTGCCTGCACCCGCCCACCCGGTCTGCCCATTGCCTTGAGCCTGGCACTCATGCTTCTCCCTCCTGCCCACGTAGAATGTCAGGAAGTGCCTGTTGCCGGGGCCTCTCTGCCCGCCTGGCACCCCCTCACTGCTCACCTGGGAGCCCTACAAGCTGAGCCTATCTGCCGAGAGGAGCACTGGGGTTGTAGCAGGACGCAGGCATGCCCTTTCTCCCAAGCGGGCCTGCTGTAAGGCACCCTGAGGAGCCACAGCGGCTGTGGGCCTGGAGCTTCCAGGCTGGGGACACCAGGGCAGGTGGGCAGCCTCCCCCCAAAGGTACGGGAACAAGTCTCTCCCTTCTCCTCAGGTTGTGGTGGCTGGATTGGAATCCAACGGCAGGGCCAGGCTTTTTACCCTGGACCTGGGGAATGTGGTGGACAGCACTGCCTGAGATGGGTGCGAGTGCTGGAGCCTTCATGGACACAGTTAATCTCTACGGAGGCCTGTGCGTTGGGCTCAGCAGGCTGGCCGCCCCCCATGGCTGCCCTCATTTGTTTTCTACTCCCCTGGTTTCTGCTGGGAGGCTTTCTGGGGGACTCTTCCATGAGTGTCTTGAGACATGGCTTGCTGCTCTGGGAGCCGATTACAGACTGGGCTTTAGGATGGGAGGAAAGTCGCTATGAACCTCAGTTCCCAAGCACTGCACACTACTGCTATGTGAAGTGTGTGCTGGAGTGGAGACTTCTAGTGCCATCTCTTTTGGATTCTTTTCCCAAGAGACTTTGTTGCCTTCCTAGAATTCTTTTTCTTTCCTTTCTCTCCCATTCCATCACAGTTTTTTTTTTAATTTCAAAACAGACGCTTACCCTTGTCCTGGGCTTCCTTTTTGGTCTTTCTCTACCAGACTCGGGTCCATCCAGCCCCCACAGGTGCCTGCTCCTTGTGGCCCTCGTGGGCTGTTCCTGGGCTCACTGCGCAGCACATATACTGGTGGGCTGTTCCTGGGGTGTAGGTTGTTGGGTAAGGAGATGCTGCTGCTTTCTTCTGAGTTTGTTTGTGGAGGTTGTCGGCAATGTCTCTGCCTAAGGTAGTGGCAGGTACTAGAAATGAACTGATGGAGTGGGCTGGGACTGTTTGGGATGAGCTGTGCCTCCTCCTGGCCCAGGACCAGTAATGGTGTCCTTCCTGGCTCTGGACAGCCCCATGATTTGCCCTGGTTACTCTGGGATCACTGTGCACCTACATGTGCCTTTTTCAGATCCTCTCGGGGAATGGCATCTCCAGCTGGGTGCTTCATTCATGGACACGTGATTGCTGAAAGCCGGTGTAGAAAGGAAGCCTGTCCTACTGGGCAGATTGGTGGGCCTCCTCCCTGGGGAATATTCGTTGGAGGGGTCCGTCCTACTGGGCAGTGGGGCTTCTCCCTGGCTAGTTTCTGGGTTGGAGCTGAGGTGTTCTGTGAGGCAAGTGCATGCTTTTTTGCAAACACGTTCCTTGGCAGACTATTTCAGTTCCACTCTGACAACCAAGGAGGCTAAAATTAGTTCTGGGGAAAGAAAAGGAAGGCTGGTTGGAAACCCAAGCCTTTGGCTGGAGGATGGAGGAGGCTGCTTCGTCGGGTTTGTGGCTGAACATTTTGGAGGATGTAACCAGACCAGCTGTTGTCTGTCCATCTGCAGAGAGGGAGGGATCCCTGTTTGTCTCCCAGACCCGAACCAATTGAAACAGGAGGCTGGCTTGGAAGCTGCCTCTGGAGTGCTGCCGTCAGGGTGTTTTTCCTAAGGCTTGTCCAGTGGTGTGCTGTGTTTTCAGGTATGGAGACAATGCTTTTTAACATCCAGTGTCACTGACAGCCCTCTTCTCCCTCTAACTCAGCATGACTATGATCTGTCCATTGATTCAGAAAGCTTAGGTGAATTCTCAGAGCCCTGGGCTGGCAACCAGGGGTTAAGGCCTTATGTACTTTTGGGGGATTCTCTTTTTCTTTTTTCATCCAAGTTTTAAGTGGGATTAAAAAGGAGCCCTGTGGCCTAGGCCTCATGAGAAATTTAGCTGCTCTGTGCATGGAGGGCATAGGGATCAATCTGCTTAGGGGCTTAGAAGCTGTATGGACAGAGGGTTTGAGAAGGCAATTCTAGTTTTTCTTCCCACCTGGTAGCCCTTCTGCCTGAGGAGGGTGTATCCTGCGGGGCCATGTGAGAGCAGAAGGGCCAGGGAGTAGTATGGTTCTGTCTCACATACCTTGAAAAACTCTCCACTCAGCTCTCTTCTTTCTGGAGTGTCACCTTGTTCGCCACGCTGTGGTACAATTGGGGAGCAGAAGACACATTGGCCCTACTTTTTCTTTCTTCCCATTTAAATGTTATTTTAGTTGTATAAGTAATACACAAATGTTCAGTTGCAGAAATCTAGCTGTTATAGATAAAACAAGAATCTCCTTTACCTGTCCCCCATCTGAGTGCCCTTCCAGAGGTAAGCCTTTTAGAGTGGGAGTGTTTTCTTCTAGACATTTTTAGCTATGCGTCTATAGGAAGTACCTAGATAAATAGAGAAGTCTTTTTGTTTTCTCTGTCTCCAAATGATAGCACACTTTTCTAGGCATTTAATTGAAGTATAAAATACATATAGAATAGTGTAATTATGACTGGGGGTATAGTTCAGTGGTAGAACATATGGTTAGCATGTGTGAGACCCTGGGTTCAATTCCTAACACCAAAAACAAACAGAAAAAGAATAGTGTAATTATCTTGGTGGCTGCTTCATGAATTTTCAGAAACTGAATTTATCCATGTAATTAAAATCCAAATGGAGAATCAGAAATCTACCAGCCTCTTTCCCCACTAGTGCCCCAGCCTTTCAGTCTTAAGGATTGAACCCAAGGCCTCAAGCATCCTAAGCACAAGTTCAGCTTCTGAGCCACACCTCTGCCCCCAAGCCCTTAATTATTTGCCTCAAATCACTAGCCCTATCTGCCTAGGGTAACTACTCTTGACTTACAGCAACTTAGTTTTTCTATTTTATGTGAATGTCATCATATACATGAACTGTTTTGTGTCCATCTTCTGTTTACGGTGTCTGTGATTTTCACTTGCTGGTTCCATGTCATGTCTTTAAGTTCATCTGTTTTGGTAACCTTTCTAATAATTTGAGTCTTTTTTTTTTTTTGTTTTTTTTTTTTTTTTTTTTTGTACCGGAGATTGAACACTTGGCACTTGCAAGGCAGGTGGCGGAACCACTGAGCCAAATCCCCAGCAATTCGAGTCTTCTCTGATCCTGTTTTTTGTGTGTAAGAGGGTTTGAGACAATGTTTCATTGCTCTAACTCACAATCTTCCTGCCTCAACGTCTTTAGTGCTTAAATTACAAGCCTGCACTACCGTGCTTGGTCCTAGATTTTTTTTTTAATAGCTGTATAAAATTCCAAAGATTAGATTTAGACTACATTTTATCAAGCTTCCTTTTGGTGGGCTTTGTGATTTTATTCCACTTATGCAGGTTGTTTGCCAAGCATAGTTGACAAAAGAGAATTTCTGGGTTATAAAGTGTGAATATTTTACATGGTAATAAACATGAATATTTTTTTTTTTTTTTTTTTTTTGGTACCAGGGATCAAACTCAGGGCCTTGCACTTGCTAGGCAGGTAGCGGCACCACTGAGCTACATCCCTGGCCCTGTATTTTTTATTTTTGAGGCCACCCAGGTAACGGTTGCAGCAGCTGGGTGACATGGGAGCTGGCCATCTGTGGCAGTCGGTGAACAGCCTTTCTGACCCTCAGCGCACCCCTGTTGAGATGAGATGCCTGAATGTGGAGGTGGAAGTAGTTCCCATAGACCGGAGAGGCTTCGGCTTAGTGCCTGAGGAGAGCCCAGCAGGCTGTGTTCTGTCCTGAGGGCATGGTTACTGTGCCACCAGGGGTGTGGCAGAGGACTGGCTGTGGCATGCCGGCTTGGGTTTGGAGTGGACATGTATGTGTGCCTCTGTTTGTGCTCACTTACATGCTCATGCTGCCCCCAAGGCCCAAGGCACTTGCTGAAGAGCACTGGGGAACAAGGCACATGATGATGCTTTTTTTTTTTTTTTTTGGTGGTACCGGGATTGAACCCATGATCTCATGCATGTGTAGCAGGAGCTTTTACTACTGAGCTACGTCCTCGGCCCTCTCCCCTGCTTTTATTAAAAGTACTAGGAATTGAACTTAGGACCTTTGTACTGAGCTGCATCCCCAACTCAGTTTTGTTTTGTTTTTTTGGTAAAATTAAAAAAAAATTTTTTTGAGATAGCATCTCACTAAATTGCCTGGGCTGGGCTCAAACTTGTGATCCTTCTGCCTTGGCCTTCCAGAGTGCTGGAATTACAGGCAAGAGCCACCATACCTAGCTGCCCAGCTCCTTTTAAAAAGTTTTGAGACAGTGTCTTCCTGAGTTGCCCAGGCTTGCCTAGAACTTGCGATCCTCCAGCCTCAGCCTCCCAGATAGCTGGGGTTAACAGATGTGTGCCACCATGCCCTGAGAGTACACTGTATTTGACAAAATCTTGGCGTGATGAGATTCTGATTTCACAGGTGGTAATAATGGTAGTAGATAGTGCTTCTTAGGACAGGGCAGGAGTAAATTCCTATTTCTGGCTGAGTGTATGTCTTGTTTCCTTGTACAGCCTTTGGCATGATTGGCTGAAGAATAGGAAAGACAGTTTGGGATGACTTGTTCTCCAAAGCCTCCTGTTTGCTTCTAGTCTCTTGATCCAGCAAGCTTCCTGCTCTTTGAGTACTGTTATACTGGAAGTCCTGAGTAAACCCATTTGTCAGACCTTGCTCTTGCTCATGGGTTTGGATGACACTAGATTTGTGAAATGTTTCTGACTGATTATATCACAATGAACAGGTGACATGTACTGCTTGTGCCTTACTCTGCCTAGGTTATCATAAAAGAGTACGGAGTGGCTCAAACAATAGGGACTCATTTTCTCATGGTGCTGGGGGCTGGAATCGCAGGGTAAGGTGCTGGCAGGTTTGTTTTCAGGGTTGGAGGCAGGGCATCTTCTTAGCTTAAAGATAGCTTCCTTCGTGCTGTGTGTCCTTCCTTGTGTGACCTTTTTGCTGTGAGTGCAAAGGGTTTCTTCCTCTTCTGAGGGCACCATTCCTGCTGGATTAGAGGCCTGACTCTATAATCTCATTTTGCCTTTATTTTCTCCCATCTCTGAATAGAGTCACATTGGGGGGTCTTCAGTTTGAATTCTGAGAGGACACAGTTCAGTCCATAATAGTGTGAAACAATGAAGGTGGTTGAAAGTGAATTCTTTTTTCTCTTCAGTTACATTCTGGAATTGAACTTACTTTTCTGGGCTTTGCTCTTTTCTTTTGTTCTTGTTCAAAACTTTCCATAGGCAATTTTATATAGTATATTCTGTGAGCTCAATTTTTGCATATGTGTAGATATACCCTTGATTTTGGGCCTGTTATGGTCCTGAAAAAAATATCTGGAAGCTGGGTAAAAATTTAGATGTAAAAACTTTCTGTTTGATAATAAGGACCATCCCCCTTTCTGAAGGCAACTGGGAAAACTGGAAAAATTAAAGAGAATATCTCAGGTTGAATGCCTTATACAGCTAAGAAGATAGACTTACTAGTCCAGAATCAATGTAAGAACAAAGGCCTCTGGTGGTGACTTCACGTTTTCAGTCATTCTGTGGGGGCAGTTGAGAGATGAACACTCTCACCTTAAAAGATTGAGATAGCCCTGTAGGGTAAGAAGAGAGATTCTGAGGGTGGGTGGAGTTAACCCCTCCTTTTAGATTGAGACTCCTCCTAGGGACAAGGAGAACCTCAAAATGGAGAAACAACCTGTAATTAGATTTAAATATTTTGGAATTAATGGTATCTTTCCTTCCTGTCAGAAATATATATAATTCTTTCTGGAGGATTTACCTCATCCTAGGCCTCAACTTTATATCTGCAAAAAATTTGGACAATATAGTGGCTGGATGATGATTTAAAATAAATAGCCAGCAGAAATATCGCAGTTGAAGCAGACTAGGATGTGCTTCAGATGAGTGGTATCGTGTACATGAGTGTTTGCTGTGGTCGGGAGATGAATGAGTAGGAATTTCAGCAGAGAGCCGAGAACTATAAATTACCAAAGGAAAAATCTGTTATAGAATTGATGTGAATAACAGAAATTAAGAGCCCAGTACATGATTTTTATCAGGAGATTAGATGCATCTAAAGAGGGGATTAGTGAACTGTGGTAGATCAGAAGAAAATATACAGACACCCATGAAGAAACAAAAAGATGGATAACACAGGGGATAAAGTGAGAATGTGAAGTAGAGGGGAAAGAATGAAGCAGGAAAATAGTTGAGAACGTTCTAAAACCAGTGAAAGATGTCATGCTGTAGGTTCAAGAAGTCCTGTTGAGGTAAGATAATGAATAAAACAATCTATCACATCAAAATTCTGGTACCCAAAGATGGAAAGAGATCTTAAAAATAACTAGGGATGAAAGTCGTGACAATCAAGAGTAGCAGTTACAGTGACTGCTAACTTCACAAGAGAAACCAGGGAAGTCGAAGACGGTTAGCTTTAAATGTTGAAAGAAATAGCTACCAAGCAAAAATTTTATATCAAGTGAAATTATCTTTCAGGAATGATGGCTTCACGTAACGGAAGTATTTTTTAGGCAGAAGGAAAAAAATGATCCAGAAAGAAGGTCAGAGATGAGAGAGGATTGAAGAGCAGTGAAAATGTAATTGGGCATCTCTTGCATGAAAAGAGAAGTCCATAGGAAACAAAACACACAGTAACTATGGTATGTGGGAGTAGAGAGAAAATGAGGTTAAGTTGTTGTAAAGTGTCTTATCGTGTCAAGAAGGGGTGGAACTACCAATTAATGTTAGAGCTCCCCTCCCTTGTACCTCAGGGCTGGAATCAAACACAGGGCCCTGTGCATGCTTGGCAAGAGCTCTACCACCAAGTATACCTCAGACCTAATGTTAGATTTGGATAATTCCAGAAGAGGTGCTGCTGTACTCTAGGGTAACTGGCAAAGGACAGAAAAACTATAGCTTTCAAGCTAAAAATTAGGACAAGTGGAATAGCAAGAGAATTATCTAACTGAAAAGAAGGCAATAGAAGAGAGATAAGAGAACACAGAACAGATGAGTTAAATGGAACTAATACGTGAACATGTGATTCAAAAATCCTTACTAAACCCCAGCAATAAGTAAAAATGATAATACACCTGACCGAGTATTTTTATCGCAGGAATGCATATTTAATAATAATTGAAAATCAGTTGAATTCACCATATTATCAGAGTAGAGGAGGGAGAACTATGAGTATCTCAGTAGATGTAGAAACAAATTTAGATATTATTTCTGATTTCCACTATCACTACTGAAAAGACTGCTATAGTTTTTTTGTTTGTTTGTTTTTTGGTATTGGGGATTGAACTTGGGACCTTGCACTTGAGAGACAAGTGGGGCACCACTGAGCTAAATCCCTGGCTGCTATAGTTTAATTGTACAAGTACCTTTTCTTTTCCCTCTAGTTTTCTTAGCTTTTCTCTGTTACAAGGTATATGTCTAAGTATGTACTTAAATTTATTTATACTCATTGGGGTTCATAGTACTTCAGAGTCTGATGATTCATGTCATGTCATGTCATGCCTTGGTTTTTTAAGTCTGAGTAGCTCTCTCTGGCATGACATGACTTGATGGGCTGGGGCCACATAGGAAAGTTAGGTATGGGAATTACCATGGGCAGCAGGGAATGAATGGTATGGCTCTGATATAATGGGTAATATGCCAGGCATATTCTGACCATGAAATGCATTAACATTTAAATTTTCCTAACAGCCCTAGGAGGTAGGTGTGTTGTTAATCTCTGTCACAGAGTAGTTTAGTTAAGCTGCCAAGGGGAATATAGGGCAAGATTTGAGGTCTGGCCAGGTCAGCGCTGTTGTTTTGCTGAGTTGCCTAGGCGGATCTAATCAGATGGGGTGCAGGTAACATACAGGACCCTTGGGTCCTGCTTAGAACCTTGAGATTTGAAGCTCCTAGTTCATTCCATATAGGTCCTATCCATGTTAGTGGCCAGATGGGTCGGTGCCTGATGATGGCCTAGAGAGAGGAGCTGGGCCAGCCCTTGCCTGTTTGTCATGTTGGAACTCTCCTAACCCTGCACAGGGGACTTACTGCCTGTTGCCTGAATGGAGATATAACACTCCTTGGCTGTGAGTGAGTATAGGTCAGTGTTAGAGCACTTGCCTAGAGTACATGAGGCCCCAGGTTAGATTTACAGAGCTGCAAAAAAAAGTGTTGTCACTCCTTTTGAAATCTTTAACCAGTATACCTGCCCGCACCTTGTGACAACTCGTATGTGTTTGGATCTGGTTCTGACACTCAGGATGGTCAAAGTCCTGCTTTTCAGTCTTGTGGGGGAAGCCCAGAATTCGAACACAATTATTGAAGACATTTGTAATGCTTCATTTCTTATACAAATGTTCATTATATTAATAGTGTTATTTATTTTGGGGGGTTATTTTTGGTTATGTGATTCACATACTTTTTAATGTGTGAAATATTCCTTTAAACATCAACAATTAGCCAAGGTGGCAAGTTAGGTGAGAGAGGAAACACAAGGGCCAATAAATTAGAAAGTTTGCCTGGTTTTGGGAGAGAGGACATAGTTAAAACCTTGGGGAGAAAGTGGTAAGTATTTGCAGCCAGAGGTATAACGGGTGCTAAGCCCAGGAGTGGGCACATTCAGGGCTTTGGTGCTGGGTTGTGGCTGCAGGGGAGAAGGTAGAGGAGTGCTCAGCCCTCCTAGCTGTAGCTAGCCTGGGCACTGGCCTTACCAGGCTCAAGTTCCCCAACTAGGGTTGCTGCTGTGGATACAGTGGGGCCCCGGGTTGGGGAGAGCAGGGCCATGCACTCCCGGACTGGGTGCTTTGCACAGCTCAGTGATGTGCTGCTGCAGGTAGGCAGGGGTCTGTGGGCACTGTAGGTGCTAGCGTGGTCCTGGCCCCTGTCAGCCTCTGATTGCCTACGGAACCCTAAACCTTAATCTCTGTGTTTGAAGAAGGGCCTGAATGGGGGAAGCCGATACTGTCCTCATGTGAGCCCCCTTGACCCTGATTCCCTTTCTGTAGGCCAGGGTGAGTCCTAGCTACATGGCTGCTCAGAGGCCATGCTTTCGGAAGCTGCCAGAGGTCAGGATTTATGCTAGATGTCCTGGGATGGTCAGCACTGTGGCTGGGTGACAACCTCTGATTCTTGCTTGAGCCTTGAGATTTGCTGCTAGCCCCTGGTTGGTTCCCCCTGAAAGAAGCCTCTTATCAACTGCAGGGAGGTGTAACAAATGTAGGTCTGAGCAGAGAATGGCTACTCCTGTGATGGAGGCTCCCCCACCAGTGTCTTTTGGTCTGGGATGGGCCCTGGGAAATCAAGGTATGGGCTATCCTAGACCTCAGGGCACTGTGTCTTCCCCCCAGCATCACTGCCCTCTGTCCTTGCTGTCCCAATACACCTTTCAGACTGACTGACAGTGAAGTACAGTTGCTGGCATGCTGGCTAGGGTTTTTAAGAGTGACTGTGGTTCCTCCTCCTCCATGGGGTGGGGTGAGGGTTGTGGATGGTGCCAGGTCACTGACTCACAGTAGGCTCCACAGGTGCAGAAAGGTAAGCTGGATGCTTGGCCATTCCTGTCGGATGTTTCTGTATAGTGTAAACGCTGCGGCCTCCTTCACGTCGATGTCCTGTGAAGAAGCAGTGGCTTGGTCTCAGGCAGAACCTGTCTTTTGCCACTTTTTCCGTCCCAGGACTATAGGATTCATGGGGGCAGCTCTGGGCCTGGGATTGGGGGTTGTTTTACAGGGAGGATGAGGAAGACAGATTTGATGCATGTTTGAGTTCATGTTTGAAGAAAGCATTTGAACAAGCAGTTGGAGGTTGACATTTTCAGCCACCTGGATGGTACTTCTGCAGGGGATAGAATGGGATTCAGGAGTGGATGGGGTGTGCTGAGGGTTGTCAGGGGAGAGCCCAGCTGGGAGGTTGATCTGTGATTGTAGCTTAGCCTCCTGCCGGCCCTCCTCCTGCCTGAGTACCCCCCTCACACCCCGTGACTCTGGGAACCTGATGTGCAGCACTGGGTGCCATTGTTGGGTGCAGAAAGGACACTGGAGAGTCTGGGCAGAAAGTTGTGGGAGACCCACCAGTGTAGGCTCCCTGGAGGAAACTGGTGAGCAGGAGCCAGGCAGAGACTGGAGCTGCAGGAAGCCATCAGTCCTTGTAGTTCCTCCAGATGTGGCCCCTCAGGTCTGCATTAGAATCTCCTGAAGTAGACAAGGTGTTTAAAAGTGGAGATCCTGCCAGGCATGGTGGCTCACACCTATAATCCCAGCACTTGGGAGGCTGAGGCAGGAGAATTGCTGCGAGTTCAAGGGCAGCCTGGGCTTCATAGGGAGTTCATGTCCAGCCTGAACTAAATAAAAAAAAAAAAGTGGAGATCCCGCCTCCATTCCCATATTACCATTGGATAGATCTGGGCTATGTCTGGGAAGATATATTTTTAATAAACACTATTACCGTACCATACCCCTATACTTAAAGTTATTCTCAAGTGCACTGAAGTTTTGAGACTCCTTCATTATTTTGCTACTGCAAGGAGTAACAGCTGCCCCAAAACCTCAGGCAGGGTTGGAGCTCCTTTTTGTGCACCTGGCCATCAGTCTGGTGTCCATCTTTCTGTGGCATTAGGCTCCCTTTCATAGGCCTAGTGCAGCTGCAGTGGGGAAAATGAGCTGGGAGCTTGCACCAAGTGGGCATGCAGTAATAATCTCGAGGTGTTGGGTGCCCGGATGGCATGGGGTCTAGCATTAAGAGCAGAGGGTATCCCCCTCTTCTCTTGTGGGGTCCCCAGGACTAGTTGCAGGGGTTTGGGGCAGCAGTCGTCGGGACATGCTCAGCCTTTCTCGCTTCTCTGGGGCACAGGTTCTGGGCGTGGGGAGGCGGAGACGCGGGAGTGCCTCTACTACAACGCCAACTGGGAGCTGGAACATACCAACCAGAGTGGCCTGGAGCGCTGTGAGGGCGAGCAGGACAAGCGGCTGCACTGCTATGCCTCCTGGCGCAACAGCTCAGGCACCATTGAGCTTGTCAAGAAGGGTTGCTGGCTGGATGACTTCAACTGCTACGACAGGTACCACCCAAGCTCCCCTTCCCCTGCTGAAGCCTGCCTGTGCTTGTACCACCTCCTGGGGTATGTGGGTCTCAGGATGTCTGAGTGAGAAAGGGTCTTAGGAGGTGGTGCTGTGTCGCAAGCCCTTCTACAGCTGCTTGCCCTTTCCTAGCTCTGAGGAGGGTGTGGGTGCACGTCAGCCCCTGGCGGTCACTCCTCAGCTTCGGGTAACACTCGGGTGGGTCACACTGTTCCACTGAAGTTGCCCATGACGTGCTGTCTGTGGGGAGGAGTTTGACTGCACAGGCCTGGGAGAGTCTCGCATTGCCCTGCTGGAAGAGTGTAAGGAAAACTCTGCCTTCAGGCAGGAGTGTGTGGCCACCGAGGAGAATCCGCAGGTGTATTTCTGCTGCTGTGAAGGCAACTTCTGCAACGAGCGCTTCACCCACCTGCCGGAAGCAGGGGGTCCAGAAGGTGAGGGGCCAGTGGGAAGAGGGGCCAGTCCTTGGCCCAGAGTGCTCAGCTCCCACTTGGGTGGGTAGTGGCTGCAGGACCTTATGGAGGTGTGGTTGTGGGCGGGCTGTGTGACGCCGGGCTCCATGTGTCCCCCAGTCACGTACGAGCCACCCCCGACAGCCCCCACCCTGCTCACGGTGCTGGCCTACTCGCTGCTGCCCATTGGAGGCCTCTCCCTCATCGTCCTGTTGGCCTTCTGGATGTATCGGCATCGCAAGCCCCCCTATGGCCATGTGGACATCCATGAGGTGAGACAGTGCAGGCTTGGCACAAGGCAGGGCAGGGGAGGTGCGGCAGTCCAGGCCAGATCCCGTTAAGCCTTTACTCTCTTCCAGGACCCCGGGCCTCCGCCCCCATCCCCTCTGGTGGGCCTGAAGCCACTGCAGCTACTGGAGATCAAGGCTCGGGGGCGCTTTGGCTGTGTCTGGAAGGCCCAGCTCATGAACGACTTTGTGGCTGTCAAGATCTTTCCACTCCAGGTGAGTGGGGGGCTCTGGGTCATCCTGCCTCACTGCAGCTGGTAATAGGTCCATCCAAGCCCTCGATGCACAGTGGGATGAGAGAGAAGTGGCTTCACTAGGTGGAATGGTTACTTGTATCACCCTTGGCTGTCTGAGGATTGTATGTGACAGTAAATTTCCATTGTAGGACCAGAGTAGGGCTTTGCCCATCCTTGATCTGCTTCGATACCAGGGTTTTGATCTTGACATTATGATCTGCTCAGAGATCCTAGGCACCAGGCTGCCCCAGGCAGTTACCAGGACACTTAGCAAAGCCTGGCCTGGCTGTGCCTTTCACTTGTTGAGTGATACTGGGCAACTTATTTCCTCTCTGTGGGCCCAGTGGTTCCATTTGTGATCCATGGTGCTGTGATCATGCTAAAGTGATCTCCAGGATTGCTATTGCCCTCATGCTCCTGAGCCCCGCTCTGGGCTGCTCGCCTAGGCCCCCTACGGAAGCTGAAGCTGGGAGGCCAGCGTGGGGATGGGGAGGATCTCTGACCTGCTGTGGGGAAATGTGGCTGAGCTTCTTCCCGCCTCAGGACAAGCAGTCATGGCAGAGTGAGCGAGAGATCTTCAGCACACCTGGCATGAAGCACGAGAACTTGCTGCAGTTCATTGCTGCCGAGAAGAGAGGCTCCAACCTCGAGGTGGAACTGTGGCTCATCACGGCCTTCCACGACAAGGTGAGCCGTGTCCATCAGATGGACTCTGAGATAGATGGAAAGGGCCCTGTGGTGGTATCTATGATGAGATAACCCCTACCGCAGGCGTTTCTGCAGTGAGAACCTCCAGCCCTGGGCTGACTTATGATACAGAGTATGTTTCTTCCCGGGCTGGGCTGGACTGAGTCCTGTTCTGCACCAAGAGCCGGTGCCCAACTTCTGTGCTGCTTTCTCTCAGGGCTCCCTCACGGATTACCTCAAGGGGAACATCATCACATGGAATGAATTGTGTCATGTGGCAGAGACGATGTCACGAGGCCTCTCGTACCTGCATGAGGATGTGCCCTGGTGCCGTGGTGAGGGCCACAAGCCGTCCATTGCCCACAGGTGTGTGGGTTAGCAAGTGCCCTACCTGCACGTGGCCTGGAACAGCAGAGGGCTGGTGGGTGGGGCAGAATCTGGGGGATATCTCACCTTCTTAAACATGCATAGTCTGCTCATGGTGTGGCAGAGCAACTGGGGACAAAACCTGGTCTTTACCTGTGTCCTGGGAATGGCATGGCCTCCCAAGCTGGTTTTCTGGTGCCCTCTAATGGCGATGTGAGAAGGTGCTGACCTCATTACTTTGGAGCGCTGGCTCAGCAGTTTGAAACTTTTTGGTTAGGCCCCCTTGTACTGTTAAAATGAAGTTTTGCATACTAGGTCAGTCTGTTGGTGTTTGCTAGTATAGAAACCCACTTCTGTTACCTGTCACAGCTGACAGCATCTGTCATGGAGCCCCTGGAGAAGTCCTCTCTATACTCCTGAAAGATGAGTTTAGAAAAGGCAAGTGATGGAATACAAAAATAATTTTGACCACAATGATCTCCTGAAACAATCTCAGGGACCTTCTGGGGTCCTTGAACCGTGTTTGAGATCCCCAGTGTTAGCTAGATATGATATTGCATGCTTGCAATCCAAGCACTTTGGGTGGCTGAGGCAGGAGGATTGCGAGTTTGAGCTCATTCTGGGCAGCTTACAACTTAGTGAGACCCTTTCTCAGAATAAAAAGTAAAAACAGGCCTGACGATGTAGGTCAGTACACAGGCCTTGGGTTCAATCCCTGTTACCACCAAACAAAAACAAAAACCACCCTTACATGCTTTGCCACCATTGTGCTTTACCGAGTGCTTACACTACTCTAAATTCTTTGGGAAATACTAACTCATCTAATCCTCATTACTGCTTTGTTGGGTAGAAACTGTCTTTTCCTAACCCCGTCTTATCGGTGAAGGCACAATATTGCAGAAGTGTGGAGTAACTAATCAGTATACTAGGCTGGCTCCCTGCCTTTGAGGAAGGGGAAGAAGCCTTGAATTCCAGACTTCAAAGTTAAAGCATTCCTAATGATATGAACAGTAATGACATAGAAGGTTGACTGTGAAACTGCTCTTTCTGTAGGTCAGCAGGTTGAATGTCGACTCATGCATATGGCTCAAGTTGTGTTTTTTTGTTTTTTGGTTCAACTTAAGAGTAATGCATACTAACTGTGCCAGGGTGGCCCAAGGCTGAGACAGACAGTGCTGGGAGAGGACTCAAAGTAGCTCTTTTAGTATGGGGTAGAGCTGTGCAAACACTAGTGTACCCTGCTCCACCGCCTGTGCAGCCTACATAGGGTTCTTGGCAAGCTGATTTTAAATTTCTGCTTTCACCCACATTCTAAATATCATAAATTATTCCCAGAAAGATAGGCCCATGTACCTGGCACCATCCCCTCTGAGAATATTCGGGTTGGTTTTTGATACTGTAGGGACTGGAAAAGGGTCTGTCCAGCCATTAGGGAGGAATGGCTTTGCCAACCCTGGTAGAAGCCTTCAGCCCAAGGCTACAGGGAATTCCCACCCCTTTGTGGGCTCCTGAAAGGCCTCGCTTTTGTACCCTGCACACACCCTGCACCCTGGATGGGGTTGTGAGGCACAGACTCGGGGAGCTCGAGGGCAGGGTAGTCTTTAGGTACAGAGTATATTGACTGTGGAGTTCTATTTCACCTGAGCCCATTTGCTTCCACAGGGACTTTAAGAGCAAGAATGTATTGCTGAAGAGTGACCTCACGGCCGTGCTGGCTGACTTCGGCCTGGCTGTTCGGTTTGAGCCAGGGAAACCGCCAGGGGATACCCATGGCCAGGTACCAGTCTTGGGCTGGGAAGTACAGGGCTGGCCAAGGGGATGCTCTGGTACTCAGCAAGGGTCACTGCATGAATTCAGAGCTCACAGAGAACTCGGAGAATGGAACTCTTGTGCCATTGTGGAAACCAAGGCCTGGAGCTTGAAGCTTTCCCAGGCCACAAGATTTTGCCACTTACTTTTGTAGTCTCAGTTTCTTCTTCTATAATAATTATTAAACAGGATAAAATAGGAAAATTGCTAGGCATGGTGGCACACGCCTGTCATCCTAACACTCAGGAGACAGGCAAGGAGGAACACTCTTAAATTTCAGCCAGCCTGGGCTACATAGTGGCACCCTGTCTCAACAACAACAACAACAACAACAACAAAGTACTAAGATCCAGACCAGGAATCTAGAAGTAACTCAAAACTAAACCCAGTAAACTGTCTTAAAACAATCAGCTATTGATATGTTTGAGCGTTCTTCCTGTCTTTGCTTTTAGTTTTTTTGTTTGTTTGTTATTTTGAGACAGAGTCTCACTATGTAGTTGAGACTGACCTGGAACTCACTATGTAACCCAGGCTGGTCTCAAACTCACAGCGATCCTCCTGCCTCAGCCTGCCAAGTACTGGGATTATAGGCATGCGCCACCACGCCTGGCCCAGCTTTTAGTTTTAGTCTCAGTAAAATACACATCATTGGTGTAGCTTGTGGTATTGCTGTAGCAGTTAGATGATAATTTCATGAAATTGTCATCACATGTAATTTGTAACTGCTGTGAATAAGGTGAACTGGGGCTTCCCATTGCTGGTATCCTACTCTGAAGCCCACACCCTACCCCTGTGTGGGGTACATGGGCTGTAGCTCCCTGCCCATTGGTGTGTTCGCTTGTGCCTTGTCAGTCTCTGTAGACCCCACCCTCCTCTGTCCTTATGTAGGTAGGTACCAGACGGTACATGGCCCCCGAGGTGCTTGAGGGAGCCATCAACTTCCAACGAGACGCCTTCCTGCGTATTGACATGTATGCTATGGGTCTGGTGCTGTGGGAGCTTGTGTCTCGCTGCAAAGCTGCAGATGGTGAGTGGGACAGTGGTCCTGGGTGGGCCTAGGCATCTCAGGTTGGGGTTTGGGAGCTGCGGGGCATTGGGGTGATCCCACTAGATTTTCTTTCCCCTGTAGGACCTGTGGACGAGTATATGCTTCCCTTTGAGGAGGAGATTGGCCAGCACCCTTCGCTGGAGGAACTGCAGGAGGTGGTTGTACACAAGAAGATGAGGCCTATCATTAAGGATCACTGGCTGAAGCACCCGGTGAGGGGCTTCATAGAAGAAGGGACCTTCCATGTGTAGGAGCCTGAGATCTAGGGCAGTGGGGCATAGAGGGAGGCTGCCATGTTCCCTGGACCCTAGGGAGTTATATCTGGGTGTGAGTAGTAAGGTAGGATGATGCCCCTTCCTGGTCCACAGTGTGACCAAACCACTGTACTTTGGGCCTGTGTATTTGGGCTTTGTGTGAGATTTGATTTGAATATCACCATTCTAGGGCAAGCGCACATGTCTGCCCTAGGAGGGGCATGGGTAGTTCATAGGTCTGTGAAGGAGGCAGGTGAGCTCTCGGTGGTTGTTGCCAGGAGAGCAGGCTTCCTGGTGGCCACAGTTTCCCCTGGCCCCAGATGGTGAGCTGTGGCTGGTAGCAGCATTATCAAGCTTGCTGTCCCTACTCCCCCACCACACTTGTCCTCACCAAAGCCTCTAACAAGGTTGTCTTTCCCTTCCCCTCTCTTCCCCCAACTTTCAGGGCCTGGCCCAACTCTGTGTGACCATTGAGGAATGCTGGGACCACGACGCAGAGGCTCGCCTCTCCGCGGGCTGTGTGGAGGAGCGGGTGTCCCTGATCCGGAGGTCGGTCAACGGCACTACCTCGGACTGTCTTGTCTCCCTGGTGACCTCCGTCACCAATGTGGACCTGCCCCCTAAAGAGTCCAGCATATAAGCCCTGGATGTGTCTCCAGACTCAGTGGATCTGAAGGAAAAAAAGGAAAGAAAAGTTGTGTTTTGTTTTGGAAATCTTATAAAACCAACAAACACATAAAATGCAGCTGCTATTTTACCTTGACTTTTTATTATTATAATTATTATAATTATTATTATTAATATTATTTTTGGTGGATCAGTTTAAACCAACAAACACATAAAATGCAGCTGCTATTTTACCTTGACTTTTTATTATTATAATTATTATAATTATTATTATTAATATTATTTTTGGATTGGATCAGTTTTTACCAGCATATTGCTCTACTGTATCGCGAACAGCGGACACGTCAGCAGGCGTTGAGGTGCTGAGCTGTGAATGCAGAACCAGCGCCATGCTGAAGAGCCTCAGCCACCTCCTGTCCTTTGGGATTCATTTTTCCCGCTTTCTCTTTGTTTGTCGTCTCAGAATCTGTGACACAAACCCATCTCCTGTCTTAGGAAACTTAATGCTGCAAACTCTACTAGAGGAACCTTCGAAGACTGTTACATAAGAACATACCTTCCTCAGAAGAGGGTTCCTCCCCTCCGCCCTTGCCCTGCCTCCCCACCTTTTACTTTGTTTCTCCCTTTTTAGGCAGTGAGCTACAGAAGCATCAGATGTGTCTTTCACGGATCTAACGGGTGTTGTCCTGACCGAGGAGAAGCTGGGATGAGGACAAGGATGGTCTGGACTGGAGTTGGAAGGGAGGAATGCTAGGGCAGGGTTGGAACAGAGCTACACTGGACTCAGGCACACGCAGAGCAACATCCTTTGCTATGGAGGCCACTTCTCAGGTAACCAGGAATCGAGGGCAAGGACCTTGTGGGGCTGAGTGTTAACGGCAAGCCTAGGGTTTGGAGAAAGTCTGAGAACAGGAGCATCGCAGGGTCCTGACTGTTTTTGTTTTGTTTTGTTTTTTTCATTAATTTGGGCTTGGCCATAGGATGAAACGTTATTTCTGTCCAAATTTTAAGATGAGACAAAGGCAGAAATCATCAGTCTAGTGAACATTCTTCATTAGATGCAATTCTAATCTTTAATGGAGGAAATACTGAAACACTGTTTCCTCCTGGAGCAGTTCGCAAAATTCCCCTGGGGTGCCCTGCACAGCTGGGACTAGAGGGTTCCCGAGCGGTCCCTCAAGGACCTGTGTCTCTGGGGAACCTTTAAGCCCTGTAGCTCTGGCTCCACTCACGGTGGTGACTTGGATGACCCCTTTCTGTGGCTCGTGGACACAGCTTTCTCCAGACCCCTTAAAGTGGTGCATATTCTAAAAAAACTTTTTCTATTATGCCATGACCTTGTTCTAGTCAGTGAATGTTCCTGATGCTGCTGTTTTGACATTTGAATTTTTTAATTTATGGAGCATACGAAGTTTGTTTTCAGACAGAAGGTACACATCTACATATACACATATGCTTTGCTATGTGGCTTCCGAGGTTTAAATTTTAAGAAATAAAAGAATTAAAACTTCACGACCACAGACCACCTCAAACCAGAAATACCTCAGAATTTTCTACTTGTATAAGTTTTATTATGTATTTTGTTAGTTGTGTTGTCTTGTAGTAAGTATATTTTAATGTAAGTTGGCTTTTATGACAAGGAAGTTTTAAAAAATAGAGAAAGAAAATAATGTTTGTGTCTTTTAGGGAGTACTACCATTTTTGTTTGATAACGCCTCCTTGTAAATAATTATCATTGGCTGTAAGTAGTTTGTCTGTCTGGGCATTCATCATTCTTGTTGGGAAGGCTATTTCTTCCAGCTTCTGTAGACTGTTTTATTTAAAACATCACATCTCTTAAATTTTTAGGGTAGGCGAGTTGGTGGGTGATGAGAGAGCTGGAGCTGGGTGAGCTGAGAAGGCCTTCTCCTGGGCTGAACTGGGGGCTCAGATGTTAGCCATGACTGGATAGGTCAGTGTTCAGAAGAGAACCTCACTTGAGCTTGGTAGAAGTGGCCCTTAGGCCTACATGAGCTAATTTTACTTGCGATTTAATTCCTTCAGTAGGTTAGTGGCAGTGTGATTAAGGAGATGGGCAGATCCTCTCAGTGCACTGTACCTGGAGGGCAGTTCCAGACTAGCTCATCTGGGTGGAGGGGTCTTGTGCTTGGCCAGCCTGGGAGTGTGTGGGTCAGCAAAGTGAGGGCACTGTGTACGGGGAGGTGGCTGCTTCTGCTCGGTGTGCTAGGTGCCGTGTCTCGGTCTGCTGTGGGGGTGGCCATTGCTCTGGGGGTTGAGGCAAGGGTTGCTGGGGGAGGCCATTTTGCTCCCCTCAGAGCTTCTTATTTGCTTCATGGGTCAAAATTTGGTCTGGCCAGATGGTTATGGGGACAGTCATTTTGTTTTTGTAAACTATTTTGTCTTTTTCCCCTTAGAATAATTTCAAACCGCAAAATGGGCCTTACAGCAGTTGCTTTTCTTTTCCACTTATTTCTTTAAGAAGCTTTAAAGTATTTATTGAAAAGTGCCATATCTACTTTCTTTAGCATTCTTCTCAGGCATCAGGGACATCTCTACTTTTCTCCCTCAGAAGAAACCGATAAAATTAGGTAATTCACTGTAGGAATAATCAGATCACCAGTCTTAACCTAGTGCCAAACACTAAACCCCAGCTTTCTCTTTGGTTTTAGATTTCCTCTTGGTGGTTTTTCTTATGTGCTGGTTGGATTCGTAGAAGTGTTGACCTGGCTGAGGGAGTATTGAGCTGTGGTTGTGGCATGGGACCCTTCCAGTCAGGATGGGGTGCAGCAGGCGGCTTGTTGCCTTTTCCCTGAGTGGCTTCCCTCTTTGTTGAGGGAACCCTGTACCTAGACACTGGTGTCCCTGCGAAGCCTCGCCATCAGAATGAAGTGCCGCGAGTTGGTTCCTTTGGTGTGGCTGGGGGCGTCTGTGTCAGTTCCTGGGACTTCAGTCTGTCTCTTTCCCTCATGCTGTAAAGTGTGTCCATCAGATGTATATCTGGTTCCTAATGGCTAGAAGGTGGTTCATTTCCTTCTAGGGGGTGACCTTGCCCAACGTGTCTGTACGTTTGCTGTCACATACTATCTGAGGGGAGCCCTAGTTTGCATTGATAATGATGGCAATTGGGTCACAGGGCCTCTGCGTGTACTCTTATCCACACATTTCGCACAGTATCCATTTTTGGAGGTTCAGAGAACTGTTACTTTTTTATTGCCTCAAGTTCTATGAAGATGAGTGGGAGTGGGGCCTGTCATCACTTTCCCTGCTTGAGAGAGGAGCTGTCCCATCCAAGATGTGAGAGATGTAGCCAAGGATCCTTGCTTCTTCCTTTTGAGTGTGCTGTTGTCTTAAGCAGGCTCCTGACTGGGGATTGGCCCTAGCAGAGACAGTTCAAGTCGAAAGTGCCATGATAACAGTGTGAAGTGATGCCTAGCTGCAGAAATCCCAGGATGAGCCAGAGAAAGGGGACACAGGTAAAAATAGGGGCCATTGTGTCACAGGATCCTGCAGATGGCCCCGAGTGACAGGCAGGGAAGCCCTTGGATTCAGTATGTAGTCATTGGAGCACCCTGGCACCATGATATAAGCTGGTATTTTTCCTAGGATCATTGGTCCCTAGCTTGAGGAGGCAAGGGGTGCAGATGGAGTGTTCAGGGGAGAAGGATGCCTGGCTGCAAGGGAAAATGGTACCTGCTGCTTTTGACTCTGGATTCATTCTGTCTGCACTTTCAGGTGTCAGTGCAGAAAGAGAAGGACCTCATCTAGCCCTGAACATCTGTAGGAGGTGAGGGCCTAATCACATGTGCTCATCAAGGGGAAGGCGCTCATCTCCAGACTACAAAGCTTGTCCTGAAGAGCTCGTCCAACCCTTGACATGTCTTGATGCTTTAGGAAGTGCAGACATGATCCCGAGTTTTTTGTCGTTTTTTTTTTTTTTTTTTTTTTTTTGTACCGGGGATCAAACTCAGGATCTTGTGCTTGCGAGGCATGCACAGGTACCACAGAGCTAAATCCCCGGCTCCTGGCCACATTCTTATCCTTTCTTCTAATACTGTGTCCTGGGACTTGGGCTTGGGCTGTATGTTTGGGTTTCTCTTGGCAAGGCAAGCTGTGTGTCCAGTGTCCGTGTGCTCTGGCTGAGAAGGCCTGTCGTAGTCTCTGTGCGGAGCTGTGTGGGTAGGGAAATGACTAAATCCTCCAGAGGGGGAGACTAGATGGCTTTCTTGCAGAATTTTGCCTTTTTGAAGTGTGTAGTGTGAAGTTCCTAAGCACCTATTGATAATACAAGGATTTGCTATTTAGTTTTCTCTCACCTAAATAATTAATAAGCAGAAGTATGTAAATTTTTAGAATCTGCACTAGAGGTTGAAGAACCAGTCATTATTCTAAAGAACTTGGCTTGCTAGCAAAGTATCTACATTGGAAAGCAGTTGCCAGGAGTTCATGCAGTTTGATCTTCAGTCTCAGTTGTCTTAGCCTATTGGATTTTGTTGGAACATCTTTGGAGGGACAGCCAGCCGTGGTTTACATCTGGGGCAGTAGAACATACCTTTCCAGGCAGTATATCACATCTGCTTTCCTCTGGTCCTCCTGAGGAAGCAGGCAGAAAGGGAGGGGCAAGATGTCCTTTTTCCTTCTCAGTTTGCTAAGGTGAATTTTTCTTGGCCAGTGGCTATGTGAAAAACTAAACTAATAAAATACTCAGCAGCTAACACGTCCAGCCTAGGGATGAGGAGTTTTAAGTCTTGATCAACATTATCTTTTAGATAAAAAAGGCTTGAAGGCCAGGGATTTGGCTCAGTGGTGCCCGCGCCTACCTTAGTAAGCACAAGCTCCTGAGTTCATCCCTGGTACCAAAAACAAAACAAAAAAACACACCACAGAGGATAAAAGGGTACTTCCATGGATGAACTGTGTATCTTCTTGGTCTAGATTTGTATCTTCTTGGTCTAGATTTTAAACGTTTAACGCATTCAGGGTTATACACATGGTTCTTTAGGTAAGATTCATGTAGTTGATTTGTAACCAGCAGTCTGAATGTATCCCAGACCTTTAGAAGGCTTGGAAAAGCTTTTTGAGATAGTGATTTAGTTTTTTAGGAGAAAAAAAACACTCCTTTGG